ATTATGATATTATATAGGTATTGATGATCGGTGTGATGAGTGTTCAGATAATTTCAATAATAAGTAAAGTATATCGGATATCCACTATGCTCTTGGGATAAACTCGCTACAGCGAAAACTTAAATATTCACTTATATGCTTTCATTCTGCAGTACTCATTCAGTCACAGCATTTTACAACACTCAAATATAAATAATGCTTAAATCATTATTTACCAAATTCATCCATTAGACAGGTGATATTAATTCCACCAAAGCTATAACCCATGACCAAAATTTTTTCTGCTTTAGCTTTACTGTAGAATGCAAACGGAAGTCGGTAAAAAAGAATTATTCTAAGGACTTGATCAAATATAATACTTGATAAATAATAAGAATAATAAAAGATTACTTACGTGACAAAATTATTCCATACGTAAATACAATGTTTTTGTGGTGATTCTGAGCCTCGTACAGATTCACGTTTGATGACCTTAAAATTAATTGCATCTGAGTGAAAATACGTTGCGAATATAGGTTCAAATAGAAAATTTAGTAAGTTTAACTCACTTCTCCATCTTTTATTATAGCTCTATAATTTTCATTAGGATTGAATACTATAATGCCCCAATTCAATTCTTGCGCCTTTTGAATATATGGATACATGGTTCCAAGCTTTATATGGCATATGATAAATATTAAAACAAAAAGTCACTATAATATTCTTTTTAGTATAATATAAAAGCGCGTAAAAATAAGAAATTTCATAACACCTCGAGACAATCGTTAATAATTACTAATAAATTAATACATGTGAATTGGTATAAGTTAAATCAAAATGAAAGTTCGTCAAGAAATAAGACAAATCATAAAACCTCTTCGTGCCCACTGCCCAGGGCGTACAACACCACTTCCTTGGATTATCAATAATAAGTTTTGACACTCAAGAGCATCTTCGCTATTTGCAATAGAAAACGGCATTAATAAAAAAACAATCTTCTTAAACATTTACCATATGTGCATATACACCTGAGGTAGATTCTACTTTTAAACGCTTCTTCTTCTTCTTCTTCTTCTTTATTATCATCATCAGGCTCCAATGGAATTATTTGTCTCTTGAGGTTATACTTTGTAACCAGTTCATTTTCGATATATTCGCCGATAGCCTCTTCATATATTAAAAATGAATAATTAAATCACATTCACGTAGCTTATCCTTAAAAATAAAACGCGATAACAATACCACCCAATCTCTCATAGCGAGTTTGGTTATAGGAGTTATCGTCAGGCTTTACATAAAATTCGAATCTTTCGTCTAATAAAGATCCGATCAAAGTGTTTACAAAGCGCAGCATGCTAAAAGTAAAAAGCTATAAGAAAGTAACACGTCTAAACAAACTTGTTTTAATGTCCCTTAATTGTCCCTCTTCGTTAAAGTGATATCCAAACCCTTCAATACTTTCAGGAAACTCGTCTTTTATTTCAGTCTGAATCATTTCCAGAATTTCTTAAGTTACTCCAGTACTCTCGCTATCACTAATTTTTATAGAATAAAATTTTCAAGTCGTGACACCTCGTGACTCATAACCAAAAGGCATTGTATAAAGCATCGGAGAGAAATTTCCGAGTTAATTCCTAAGATTATTCGAAACTTTCATTTTTTCATTGAACATGGCTAAATTAGTATGTGTTAAAGTGAAAATGATCTAAAGGTATACATATGTTTTTAAGTACGTGTTTATATATGTTGTACGTCGAAATCAAAATTTATTGATTATAAGTTGATTTAATGATAAATTAAAACAGAATTCTAAATAAACTTGAGTGATAAGGGAATTCGATTTCATGGATTTAGAATTATTAAAGAATAACAGAATCTCATATATATCCTTTTTTTTAAAATCGAATATTTATGATCAAATAAAAAGTTCTTTATTAAGTTTGACGAATGTATGTATGGAATTGAGCTAAGTCAGGTGTTCTTAAAATTACATACAATGTGATAGATTCTTTAAGGCTTGAGCAATGCTTGAGCAATTTCTTCTATATACAAAATTGTTGAGAAGCATCATACGTACACACATCACACCTAAGGGTTTCTGCCAAGAGAAAGACTAGAGCCGATGATTTTTGCGGTGGTTAAGACTAAATTCTGAGTATGTTAAGACAAATTCTGTGATTTAATGTGGTAATTTTTTTTATATAATTTTTTTCCAAATTCAACGTTTCGCTTTTACGTCAGGGTTTGATCCGCCTTTGTGATTGGCTATTAATCACGAGCTTAGAGATTCCCTTGATTTGTACCGTAATTTTATGTAGCGTTAGGTTTTCTGAAACCAATTTTCATGTCATGTAAATAACGCTGCCCAGGCATTTCAGTATTTGTGTACTTTTTTAAAAAATTATGGTAGTACATTTATCGAATGATAAATACGTACCAATCATACCTTTATACTTTATATAATAAAGTTACATAATTATATATTTTGTTTATTACAGTGTAATTTGTATGTTACGTGCACAATTTTGCAATTACCGAGGTATGATAAATAATTTCATGTGATTATGATTTCTTGAACTTCTTGAAAACGGTCCTTTAAACGTACAGTACATACAGTAGAGGTGGTGATCGATCAAAATTTTTTTGATTTTCATATGATCGAACACGAATGATCGATCATTTTCATATCTTTAGAATAGGATGGTGTTCTGAATTAAATTTCATGATTAATGCATTAGAGTTTTCTCAAGATAGAACGTAGTGACAAAGAATTTAGTGAAAAAATAAGATTGAGTAATCAGTTATTGTGTTTTCGATCTTTATACAGTATTTAACTTTGATATTGTTTGTTGACAATTAGTCCCGGCAAATAAATTTGATTAACTTCAAAATACTTATTCTTGTCTCAATAAACAATAAATAAAAAACCAGAATAATAAAACCATTCAAGCTACCAACTTCGGTGGATTCAATTTTTAAAAATTATTTTTAATAATGTAATAGAAAATTAAAATAATTGTATAATTAACTAAGCAATTTGTCTTAAAAAAATTACTATATACTTATAGAGGTGGTAATTCATTTTTAATTTCAACATTTTTAATATTTTTATAAATTTAGTTTTAATTACTTTTTGATTAAATTTTATTATTAATATTAAAAAATTAATTTCACCAATTTCAGCATCAAATAATTTCAACAATTTCGACAAAAATCTTAAAAATCTTTATTAAGAAGGGTAATTTCACCGCCATCGATATACAGTACAGTCAAACCTCGATATTATCACCAGCTTGAGAACCAAGAATCTGATTATATGGGCTGCCGTCAATAGAAATAAGGCAAATTGACATTTTAAAAAAAAAATTAATACCTTAACTTTCATAGCTCCTATCTCGATGAATTTTGAAGCTATTTTAATAATTTAATATTCAAAAGAAAGCTTACGATCTAAGCTTTCTTTTGAATATTAAATTATCCGGATAGCTTCAAAATTCATCGAAATATGAGCTGTGGAAGTTAAGGTATTAATTTTTTTTAAAATGTCAATTTGCCTTATTTCTATTGACGGCAGCCCATATAAAGGTCAATTTTATATGTTTTATAGTAGCTCAAGTTAAAAATAGTGTGATTATATCAAAGTTCTAAACAAGCAAATTTGGCCACCTTATATACTAAATTTAGTCCTTATTATAATAAACTTTTTTTTTGGCCACACTATATATACTTTGAATAAAAATTAAAATTTTGGCCACCAAAAACTTTTATTTGTTGAGTATTCCACAATCGTTTTTATTTATTAATTTAAGGTTCCGATTGATGCTTGCTCGCCTGTGGCGAGCATCTTGATCTAGTTGGATTGTAAATCAAGATTTTTTTCTCCTGCATAAAGGTCGGAACCGGTTTATTTAACGTTAATTCAACTTTAAATTAAATCCGGTTTTATTTATTATGAAAATATATCGTACATAACCCAATTTAAACTCAGCCAGATTCGGTTTTTAATTTCCAACCGGTTTCGACCTCTACGATCACATCGATTAACCAATCAAATTGCATATTAGCTTTATTTTTACAGCCAATAGAATAGCTGTATTCCTTTTTAAGGGTAGAGTATAGATTTTTTTATTTTACTATGATCACGTTGGTAATAACGATCATCAAAAAATGATCTGCGGCATGCATAACCGTATTACAGAACTACTAAATCGAACATTCTGGAATTTTTATTATATTAACGGCTCATTAGTTCTTTATCAAATACTTCCATTCTTGTTCTTTCATTATTTCCTTGGCACCGTCTGCAAGCCCCTCGATAACTAAAGTGCATGAAATATACCCTGTTTCATGTGGCCTTGATAAAATAATATCTTGCAAAACTAAGCCTCTCCTGATCAAGTCTTGAAGCGCGAATTCTGCAAATTCAACGGTACTTAGTAGCTTCGGTTTTCTTGATTTTTTAAAATCTTGTTGATCATAAAATTTTTCAAGCTGTTGATATCCAAATTTTTTTATTCGAGCTGCATTTGATCTCCTAAATACACCTACAACATTAGCAGGTATGATTTGATGATTGTAATTTGTGGTTAAGACCTCTACGACACGTAATAGCTCTTTAATATCGGGTGTTACATCTCTAATAGTTGGGTTATCTTTGATGCGACAACGACAATTATCACATTTAGTACATTCACCAGTTTCTTGGTCTCCACTTCAAGCATGATGTTTTATAAGTAATTTCATTCGACATTCATATTTTGTAGCACAAAAAAAGACCATCTCAAATATATCTTTTTTTTTTTTTGAAAAATATGCTTGATCAGCTGTTTGAGGTAATGTGGGATCTTTTGGCATGCTAGGTTAGTTTGACATTAATTTAGTTATTTAATGTTTGGTTGTATTTACATTATTTAAACTTACCTCTCACGATTTTCTGTAATTATTCCATAATTTGTTTTTATATCTCGATCAGTATAAAATATTACATCTCGCGCATCTTGGTGGTTACGGCCTGCTCGTCCAGATTGCTGAATTAGATCAGCTAAAATAAAAGGTTAGTTTATATTTTAACTATCTGTTTTATAAATTAAATGATATTTACTAAGGCTCATTGGAAATGTATAATGCAATATCAATCTAATTTCCATGTCATTTACACCTAATCCAAAGGCCGAAGTTGCGATTATTACTTTGGTTTCATTACGTTTCCATTTTTTTATTGCTATATCCTTTTTTAATTCATTCATTTTTCCATGAAAGGTATTAAAAACTATCTGGGGAAGTCTTTTTTGCATCTGTTCTATTATCTCATCACAAAGTTTTATACTTGCGCAGTATATTATTATTTTACCCTCAGCTACTTCGCAAATTAGATTTGCCATATCATCAAAAATAACGCCATTTGTATTATGTCTCTGTCGAACCTCATACTGAATCTCTTTTCTTTTGTGATTATTGCTTCTGATAACAGCTAAATTTGTGTCTAACAGGTTCGAGCTTTTTTAATTGCTTGCATATCATCATACGCGCATGTAGCAGTTAGCATTAATATAGGTGCGAGGGGGTATTGTTCTTTTAGAACACTTAGTTTGCTCCATGAATCTCTTTTGGTTAGTCCAGGTTAGTTATAATTTTAAAATTACTAATTCTTTATAATTAAGAATTTACCTGAAATGCGCAAAATCAAGCATACAATGAACCTCATCTATGACAAATTGTATTTTTTCAGCATTATATAGTCGTCTAAATAATCCTGCAATTGCCTTATTAAGAACCAACTTCTCTGGAGTAATAAACAAAATACGAGTCCAACCAAGTGCTATTTCATGAAAAATTTTTTCTTCACGAGCTATAGTTTCATTCAATGATGTCCAAAGTCCGGCACAAGGAATCCCATAGTTAATTAACTCCATCTTGCAGTTATAAGGTATTCAAAATATAAAACTATTAATTTTCAATGCTTCTATTATTGAATTTAATTAATACTTACCACCTGATCTTTGATTAATGCTGTTAGTGGACTAAGAACTACTGTTAGACTATCAAATATAATAGCAGCTGCGTATAACAAACCGATTTTCCTTCTCCCGTTTTCATAACTAAAAACGTATCCTTTCTATATTCACAATAATTTATGATCGTTTGTTGTTGGTTTTCACGTAGGCTTTTGAACTCAAATATTTTAGTAGCAATAAGTGATATAATATCACTTATTGACATTTGTGTGCATTTTAGATTAGGCTTTTTTTCTGATTCATCAAGAATTCGATCTAACCAACCAAGAGATATGTAGGTCCAGCATAATTTACAGAATCCGGATGATGTACATTTTTTAAATACATGACACCCTTTACATCTAATATGACTTTCAAAGTCATGAATTAGAGTCCCAAATGATGGATAAAAAGTGTGATTTCGCAGTCGTTCTTCTGCATGATACTTATATGGAACCAGCTCTTTATGAATAGATTTTTATTAGAACAAGTAAGTTTTTAAAATTTATTTATTATAAAATGCACCTATAGTGTTTTGCACCTATTATATTTTCTTATAGATTTTTCTCAAATTTTGTAAGTTTTGTATGTAAAATTTTAACTTCATTTTTTATATTAAATTAATATTTAGAGCTAGGTGCATTTTTACTTAGAGCGTCGTATACCAATTAATTAGCCAGTTTTGGGGATAATGCAGCATAGGTGGCAAAACACCATAATTGCGTTTTAGTAAAGTCTTAAAATTATATTATTTAAATTTACCTGATCAAAATTAAATCCAATTAACTCCTTTTTATCATTTGCATATTTTTCAGCCCGTGCCTTATTCCGATTTATAATTGCTGCTTTGTTTTGTGATCTTTGATTTTCTCGTTCATTACTTATTTTATTAATATTATATAAATCCTCTCTACTAAATTCAACAGGGGTATAATTTTCACGAAGACTCTGCAAAACTGTCAAATAACCCTCATTATAGTGAAGAACAGCTAATGCATGTCGGGTTTCATAAGAACTCCAATAATCTATTTTCTTGTCAAGGTAAACAAGTTTAACCCTATTAAAAGCCTCATTTGTTGAAGTTCTAATATCCGTAATCAATCCTTGGCCTCTAGACAAACGAAAAATAGATTTTAACATAACCCGAAAACTTTCAATATCAGTATCTGACATTCTTTGAAGCGTAGGTGATGGCAAAGCAATTTTAGGATTATCACGAATCCAGCATACTTTGGGCCAACAATTAGCATGATTACCACGTAAGTGATTTATAAGTCCTTCAACTTGCATCTCTTGTAATTCTTTTTCAGACGGACTAATTAATTCCAAATCTTTCTTTCGTAAACTAGCTGCAAAAATACAACTAGTAAAATATTTCATGATATGTTGCTTATATGAATGCCAACGACAATTTATTTTGGATGCTAATTGAAAGTTAGTATGACATATTTATTTTATATTATTAAATTGTGAATTTTTTAAAACATAATATACTTAATGCCTTTTTAATATTCTTTGTAATGTGTTTTAGGTCCGCAAAAATTTGATTGACTAGTGGAACGTCGGCGAGAGTTTTATTTGTATCAAGGTCACCGTCAACACATATATTAATTAAAAAGTCATCTTTTTCCAATATAGGAGTTATTTTGCTAACCAATTCGTTAAGAATTGCATGCTCCATGTGTCGAGAGCTTTGTTCATGATTTCCTTGAATAATAATATGCTCTTTTTCTGTTTTTTTATTTTTATACAACCGGATTTTTTGAACGGTTTGGAAGGCGATAATTGGTTTATAATAATCTTTTTTTTTTTTTTTATATAATTGAGATTAAGAAATTTTTTAGTAAATACTAATTTATATATTATTATATTTTTTAGACACTCAATCACCAAAATTTTTTAAATTTATATTTTCGAATAGTATTAATAGTTTTTTGTTAATAATAATTCTTTTTTTGATAACAATATTTTTTACTAATCTTACCTTCAAATTCTAGATGGCATATGAATTCACTGCTTGCCTGTTTGGCATTTCTTCCATGTGACCATAATATATCAAAACTAATTGGAAGAATTTTTTTATGCTCGTTTAACTCCGTTTTAGTTGGATTAATTTGTTTGTTAAGTACTTGTTCAACGTGTTCTATACATTTTGTAATTGCATTATTCGTTGACAATTTTGCTAATTCGATAATTTTTAAAAATAATTGATGCTGATGATTATGATAAATTGCTTTGGAACATTGTGATGTAATACTGATAGTTGCCAAAAAACTTTGCACTGCATGTCGAGTAATTCCAGCCCCTAATCCACCTGCAGCTACCGCTTTTGAAAAACATATATCCTTTTTTTCGTTTGAAATTTCTATGATAGTTTTGCATTCTTTACATCGAATAAAGCATTTAATTTTAAACCCTATAACTATTAATTGGCAGTCTCATTTTGAAATCAGATAATTTCCACAATTAGTGCATGGGTTTTCAAAAACCAATGATAAGTATGTTTTTGTATCTACAAGTAATGTCGAACCGAGCTTCCATTTCTCAATTAAATTATCGATAGTCATGTGTAATATTTCATCATAGGATGAATCTATATCCTGATCAGGTAAATTTATTAATTTGGTAATTTTTTTTTTAATTTTGTAATAGTTCTCTTGGCATTCTTTAACTCATTCTTAACTGTGTTGTATTCGACTAATAAGGCTTGAGTTTCCTGAGGTGATAGGTATTTTCCAAACTTATTAAGAACTATTCCTTTCCTTATAGAGGTTTCCTCTGTTTCCATAGCTACTTGTAATTGATATTTCATTCGGGTAAGAGAATTTTTTAATGTTTTTTCAGTATTAAATGCCTTTACAGTTTGTGAATATTGATTAAAAAGATTTGGATATTTTCGTGTTATTGTTTCTTGTAAAAACCGAATATTATCTCGATCTGAAAGCCATAAATACCACAGTGGAGAATGATTGCCTGACAAATTATATTTACTGAAGCATGTTTTAAAACAAATATAATCTTGTCCACTATCCTTTAATGATTTAAAGGTTTCATCTTTCGCATAAAAATACCATTGGTAAATTAGTTGATCGTTTGTATCTTTCATAATGGAAAATTTAAAAAAATTATCACTAATTATTGTATATATGGTATATCTGGGCAATAAAGGTATCCATATTGTTTCATCTTTTTTTGAAGGCTGATATGCGTAATATCCTGCAAGTTTATTTGCATTGGGATTATTTTTATTAACTCGTGTTATAACTGGTATAAGGACTTTATGAATATTTAAAACTTCTAGTTCATGTGAAATTTCACGAACAATTATACTTTTATTATCTCTTTGAATAATTGTTCGTTGAATATATGTTTTATATTCTTCCGAAACAAGTTGATAATACCATTTATTCATTTTCTAAAAATAAAAGTAATTTACACACTTTAGAATATAACAATAAATTATTTTGTTACGGGATTGTTTATAACGATATAAATATTACGCCAAACTAGTTTCTATATAAATATTATGCAGAATAAATAGTCATATCGATGTTTTAATTTTTAATGGCACGTATAAAGTTATTCTTTATTCTTTTTATTAATGTATATTTGTAAAATTAAAAGTTATACAGTCAACTCTATATAACGAACTGATAATTCTTGATATACAAGTTCGTTATATAAAATTACTGTTTTCTTAAGAAGTCGTAACTCTTATTATACCAAACCAATATAAAATTTAAAAGCTTCTAGTTTATTACATCCGGTATTTATAAAAGAGAGGTTCGTTATAAAAAGAGTTGACTGCTTCAGTATATATATTTTACAGTATTCCAGAATACTGATTTACATATTATCAGTATTCTAGAATACTAATAAAACACTCGCAAAATGTGTTTGTCACTCGCGAAATTTATTATCTTAATAAGTAAATTTTTAACATACCCAAGTTTGTAAATACGAGTTTTTTGGCTTGTTTTGATAAAACAGTATTTTAAAAACAGGTTTAGTGATATTTTATAATTTTTGTTAATTTTTGTGTAACTTGCTCTTGTGATTATGTTGTGTAATCTGATTTTATATAGTAGAGTCATAATTAGTATTATAAAAATGATCTACATATACTCTATCCTTAATTTGTGGTACTTTATTTTTTAGCCCTCCCTCTAGTGTTCTGACCCGGGTTAAAATTATAGCCACCCGGGTGGTCAACCCACAGGTCACCCGCGGGTTAACCCGCAAAATTTCAGATTCAAATACTGTTCTAATGAGAACAATTCGATAGATATAAGTGTTCTCAAGATACGATTTTATGATCACAATTTACTTTAGATTAATAGTGTATTTATCGGTTTCTGGCTTGGTACGATAACTTATGCAGCTGTTTACGTATTATATACTTATGAGAACACTATTGTTCTCAAAAAATTTTTATACTGTGCACAAATTTATAAACCTGCTTCGTTTCTTCGTAAATATCAATCTCTGTCATACCTTTCACTAAACCTTTATCTGTTTTGTTTACTATTTCGTCATTTAACTTATTTTGGCTGTGTCTCCATTATTTCCAGTTTTATATCGCCTTATATTATTTATCTCCATATTTATTCTTGGCCGCATTGTTGGTAGTGCAAAGGTGGGTTTTAGATTAGCTATGATATAGAAAAAGACAATGTGAAATATAACACTTAAGTGTTGTAGAGAATAACAGTATCATTCAATGGAAAAGATATCCCGACATTTAGTAGATTGATAAAATTCATGTACTCAAAAAATTTGTATATATAGCCTGCTATTCAACCTTCAATAAAGTCTTAAACTGATTTAAAACAAATAAAATTTGTAGGCAATTTATATAGCTGAAGATAACTTTATATTAACTTATTTTCTCATACTTATTTATTTATTAAATATGATATTTTATTAAATTATTCTTAAGATCAATTAAATTTTTAATTTATTTATTTAAGTTATTTAATCAATTCAAGTTCTAAACCCAGATTCTCACTATTAATAGTAATGCTTCACTACTTTATGCCCAATTTTTTTAAAGAAAATAAATAAAAATGGATATTGAAGATATCTATAATAGTGACTATATTTCTGACAACGATGATACCCAAGAGAATGTTGAATCTTCTAGTAGTATAGCTAGAAGAAAAGCTGTGGAGGAACCCGAAGGAAAGCCAGATGTAAAGAAAATCCGAGTAAATATTTCTAATCCAGCTGATCCAAAAAAAAAAACCTAGCTATGTTTGGAAGTATTTTGAGGAAATAGGCTCACAAGATGTTTGTAAAATAGTTATATCTGTAAACGAAGTAGATACTGACTGCGATAGGAAGTATAAGTATGATGGGTTAGCCGGAAATATGAAAACGCACTTATGACAAGCTCATGGGATTTTTGGACCAAACGAATTAGAATCGAATGAAAAATATCAATTAAATATAAATGAGATGTTTAAAAGAGTAATACCACACAATAAATTAAAACAAGCTGAGTTAATTCAAATAACAACTGAATGGTTAGTAACTGACTCTTTACCATTTAATACTGTAAATGGAAAGGGTTATAGAAAAATGATGCAACGATTCGACCCTGCATTCAACCTGCCAAGTAATAAATGTATCAGAAAAAATATTGATATTGCTTACCAAAAAGGTTATGTAAGACTTAAAACCTTGCTTGAAAATACTTGCAAAACTGCCTCAATAACTACAGACTTATAGCTAATAATGGATATATAGGCATGATGCTTCACTGGTTAACATCTAACTTTGAAGTGCGTGATGTGTTACTAGCTATCAAAAAGATTGAGCATCCACATACAAGTGACCAAATAAGAGAATATTTGGAGACTAAAATTGAAGAATTTGGATTAAGTAAAAAAAATAATTTCTGCAGTATTACTAGTGAAAGTGGAGTAGAAATAAAGGCAAAAAGAAATGATGAAGCAGCCAGATTCCTAGATGTGTGGATTTCAGAGAGAAATAAGAAAAATTGCGAAACAGGTTTAGTAGAAAAAGAGGTTGCTAGGTTAGTAAGAATCCTAAGAAAGAAGAAGATATCTCTAGAGCACCTGCAATATATAAACAATAGAGTTCTGCTACCAAGATTAGAGTACCGATTAAAATGTCAAGTGATAAGCAAGCAAGCCTGTGACAGAATCTATAGACTCTTTCTCAATTTACTTAAGTAAAAAGCAGGCTTAGCAAGTACTACAGCAAACAGCATCATTCTGCATCTAAATTTGGTAGAGGCTAAAGGCTTGTGGCAAGCAAAGGTAGCACAACAAGTCTCTAGTTTAGTTAAAAGATTAAATAGTATAGAGTCAGTAGGGAATATAACCT